TTATATCATGTAGTTCATAGTCTACCCATATTATATCATGCAATTGTGGATTACATGTGTGTTATATCATGTAGTTCATAGTCTACCCATATTATACCGTGCAATTGTGGATTATATGTGTGTTATATCATTATAGTTTATAGTCTACCCATGTTATATCATGCGACTCTGTATGACCTGTGTTATATCATCATGATATCATGTAGTTTATAGTCTACCCATGTTATATCATGCGACTCTGTATTACCTGACCCAGCTATCCAAACCTACCGACTCACCCACGCAACCACCCACCCACCTTCCTACCTAACTAGCTAAATGCATACCCTCCCAACCACTTATCTACTCTCGTCTATGCCTCCCACTTCACGCTAGCCTGAAGCTCTACTAAATAGATCTCCGCTTGCCGGAGCGTAATTGTCACATATATTGAAAGCCCGAGCACGGAAAAACGCTAGCATTGTGTGTGTGTGTGCGCAGATTCATGACGTCATCGAGCATCGGCGAGGGTCGAGACAAATTTGCATGAGCCGTCTATGTGAGAAAAGTAGTTACGATTACAAAAGAACATTTGTTGAAAAAAGAACAAAAAGGTTGTGTGCAAACGTGTCGTTGGCGCGTCTTGGCGCGCGTGCACTCCTCGTGTGGGTACCTCTGCATGGCGATCGCGTCCGTCTTTGGTGAAATTTTTGTTAAACGTTTTTTGAGTTTTTTTTAAAAGTTTTTAGCGCGCAGTATACTGTTTGCCGGTGGAAGGCAGGTAAAACTACTAAGCATTTATTCGTACATGTAATTATCATCGATTTCTTTCTCACTCCCTTTCTCTCGCTGTCTTTCTTTGTCTTTCTCCCACTCTCGCTTTCTCTCGGTGTCACTCTCTCTCTCTCTCTCTTCTCTCTTCTCTCTCTCTCTCTTTCTCTCTCTTTCTCTCTCTCTCTCTCTTTCTCTCTCTCTCTTTTTCGCTGGTTTGTCTCTTCCTCGCCTCGGTCTTTTCTGTACGTCTGTCTTTCCCGTGCGTCTTTCTCACCAGTACGCCTGTCTCCCCCACACGTTTGTTTTCCCCACGAGTCTGTCTCTCCTACATGTCTTTCTCGCCCATACGTCTGTCTCCCCTCCCCCACGCGTCTATCTCTCCCACACGGCAGTCTCTCCCGCGCGTCTTCCGCTATATGTTTTTTTCCTCTCCAGAGTGTATTCGCTTCTCATGCGTGTTTTTTTTCCCGCATGTATCGTCAGCATCAGCAGCGAATCCCGTCTCGGCGCCCTCGTGATAATTGTAAATTATCATGTTCTTGACATTTCATGCAATGCAATTATGTCGTCGGACGCAGGCGACGACCTAATTGGTCGCCGTGCACAAGTAGCACATACACGTCGTCGTCGTCGAGGAAAACATTAGTAATTTACTGCGGCTTTAACGACGCTGTAAATTGGGGTGGGGTGGGGGGGGGGTCGCTGGAGAGCAGGCTGAGACTTTTTCAAGAGCTCGCGGTAGTTGTCTATATTACTTGACCATGCAGCTATAGCTATCTATATGGCTTGACCATGCAGAAGTAGCTATCTATATTGCTTGACCATGCAGCTGTAGCTTCTATATTGCTTGACCATGCAGCTATAGCTATCTATATTGCTTGACCATAACACATCTACCAGCGCTCGCACCTGCGACGTCGGCGTACCGACGCCGAGACTGCTAGAGGAGAACTCGGCGTGTTAACAAGCCATCAGAGAAAGCTGATGACAATATCGGAGCGTCATTTACGGCCGACAGACCGCAAGCAATTGCATTGCCCACCGATCACCGCATTAGTCGCCGATCGGCGGCCGGCGATTGGTCGCTGCACGATGCGCCCGCCGACGCTGCACAGAAATTCGCGACGGTCGCGGGCGACGCCTTTGTGTTCGCGCAGGCGATCGTGTCACCCTTTTAAGTGTAACGTATTAGTTAATCAGATGAGAGGGTCCGAGCGCGGGCTGAGGTCGTGTGCACGCTGCTGCTGTTGCGGCGATTACTGTCGCCGCTGCTGCTTCTGCTCACACTACGACCGCAAGCGCCGCGGCTGCTGACGCTGCTGCTGACGCTATCACCGCCGCCGCCGCCGGAGCTGTTGGTTCTGTTTTTGCTGCTGCTGACGCCGCTGCTTCTGCTGCTGTTACTGTTGCTGTTGATGACGCTGCCGCTAGTGGTTTTGTTGTTGCTGATGCTGTTGTTGTTGTTGTTGTTGTTGTTGTTGTTGTTGTTGCTGCTGTTGTTGTTGCCTGCTACTGCTACTGCTGCTATTGCTGCTGCTGTTCTTTCTGCTGCTGTTCGATGGAGTGAGAAAGAGAGGGAGAGCGAGAGAGATGTGGGGGAGCGAAAAGAGAGAGCGACAGCGCGCGCGTACCAGTGATGAGGATCGTGCGTGCGTGCCCGGCCCATACATATCGATGTATTCATTGTGTAAACATAATCTCGATCAGGACCTGCTCCTCCTGTACATCAACGACGATCTTGGCATGCCGCCGACTATGCTAATATATGCGCCTCGATTATTTCTCCGCATTTATGAGTGATTCTTCGATTTCCCCTACAGCGGAATATTTTGCATGACGTCACCGTTCTATAGTCGAACGTGGGTCATGCCGGGAAAGACTGCTCTGCAATCTGAGATCATCACACATGGACCGTGAATGAACAAACACATGGGGGTGGGCATAAAAGGGGATGGCGCAGCAGTCAAGGCATGGAAGGTCATAATTCAACACATCTCGTTAAAGTGATCCCGGATACCATGGCCTTCTCTTCCTTGTCGTGTGGTTTAGAGCCTAGCATTTTACTTCTTGACGTACGCATTCTCTCCTTCCCAGGCGTAATTTAGCGCTTTTTATATTCAGCTCTTTGCCTGTCGATCGCCACGCGCATACATGCAAGCTCGAACACATACGCGCGCACACATATGCACGCGCAAACCCATACACGCATACTCACACGCACACGCGCGCGCCCACCGACACGGTCTCACCCGAAAACACCGGAAATTCGTCTAGCGCAAATGCTAGGCGGCGTACTTAGGAGCCAGTATAAGCGAGAATTAGCAATTAGCATTAGCAGAATTAGCGGTCTTTTCAATCAAATGTTATCGAACTCTTATTTCTTGTCGCGTTTATTTGTCACCAGCGCTGTTACAAGTCGTTAACATAGCAGTTCTTGTCTAGTCCGCAATTCGTTGCCGAAACAACATTCTTTTACTGCAGTCAAACGTTGTGTTTTCGAGTGGAAATGATAAAAACATCACCGGCATGTAGGCAAGGACGAGCGTCTAATCTCTTTCGTTTTCCTATGACGCGCTTCCCTCTCCCTCTTCTCTATTTCTCTCCTTCTCCCCAATAAACAAACAAACAAACAAACAAACAAAGAAACACACACACACACACACACAACACAACACACACGAACAACACACTCAATACACATCATCACGCACGCACGGCGCGCGCGCACACACGCGCACCCACGCGCGCGCGCATACACACACACACACACACACGCACGCACCCACGCACACATATGTATATATATAACTATATATATACACCGCGCACGCAACGCAACCCACGCACGCACGGCACAGCACAGCGACGACGCAAACATGCCATCGCAACGCAACGTACACACACACACAACACTGCGCACACAGCAGACGCGCGCGGCGCACGGAACGCGCTCCACAGATCACGTAACCTCACACGCAAATCCAAACGTATAACCGTCGTACGTTAAAATTGTCACTAACAACTTCAACTGAGTAATGACTTAAAATAACATCCGAGCACGCTACGTGCACGTATTCACGTGCAGATCGAACGTTTCAATGATAAAACGATGGCTATTAAAAACGAAATGTATTTACTATCAAAATCTCTATGTTTATGTACTCGCTATCGACTAATAATTCCATGTACTAACGTCGTTTAAATGCTCCTCTGCAACACACAATTTCAGCGCACGCACGCACGCCGCTGCACACAAACTCACAACAAGATACACTCTATCTTTCTTTGAGTTTATGCACCGTGGCGTGCGTGCGGTAAAAATGTATGTGGCAGAGGACCGAGCATCTGAACTGTTAACAACAAATATATGGAAAAAAAAATAGACAAGCATTAAGACTTTGGTAGTAAATACATTTCGTTTTTCTTTACCCTTATTTTATTATTGAAACGTTCCCGTGCACCCATCTCGCGTTTATTTACAAAAATGTGTTTCTATACCTATACAGCGCGGTTGCGCCGCACCCGCTAGCACAGTCACGACATATCGACTATGCTATGGAGAATATCAAGAGCGTATAAAGAAGAGCCGGCTCTTGATAATATCAAAAGCTAATCATACATAGATGCATTGCAAGCTCTTGATATTATTCCGATGACAATTGCGGCGCATCAGTCACGTCGTTTGTAGACATCGCTACAAAACGAAGGCAAGTTGCGGCGATATATGCTACTGCAATGTTACAAGAAAGTCGGCTGATTCGGTAGACGTAATAGCTACAGACGTAAGCTGCAGAGGAGGGCAAGATATCATATCAATAGCGCGAATATGAGGCGCACAGCTAGAACATTGAATAAACGCAGTTACACTCACGTAGACTTACATAATATATACAATGTAAACAATATATGTGTACATGTATACATGTATCAATACATGTAGCGTGTATGAAATAAATTATGTATTGGTAATAAAAGATATTGAATGTACGAATAATGACGAATGGTGATAAGTATAATCAACGCGCACGCGCACACACACGCACACACACGCACGCACACACACACGCAGGAATAACCACTGGCAGCAAGAACAAGCCCGCACGTACAACACACACGCGGCCATTGACTATATAATACAACAATGTAGTTATATATAGTCAATGGCCGCGTGTGTGTTGTACGTGCGGGCTTGTTCTTGCTGCCAGTGGAATGACGTATGCACACGTGTGTGTGTGTGTATAGCTCACCTCGTTGTAGACTGCAAACGGCATGACGAGCGTGCCGACCATGATGTCAGCAACGGCCAGCGAAACGATGAAGTAGTTGGTTACCGACTGCAGGCTGCGTTCCTTGTAAACGCTCAGCACGACGAGCGTGTTGCCAAACATTGTCAGCAGCGGAAATACGATGAGGATCACCGCCCACCATGCGCGCCCGCTCGTCAGGTCCGGTGGCTGCACGGTGAAGTTGAACTGTTCCTGCGTCGTCCCGTTGAACATCGAGTCATTGTAAAAGTCCGCCAGCTCGCTGGACGTCGCCATCGTCGACGTCGTCGTCACGGCCGTAACGTTCGCCACATCGCCGCCGAGCGCTGCGAATCGCAGCACGTTGTCAGCGAGCTGGGCGCGTCCGAGGGACGTCGGCACGTGCTGCGACGTCGCGCTCATTGCCGACGCGGCGGCTCCGTCGTCGTCGGTGTCGCCGGCGTCTCCGCTGTCGTCGCGGATGAATAGACGCTGTATGAAATCGCCAAGAGTCTGTTCAGTCATCATCGTTGTTGCTGTCGGTAGCCCGCCGACGTCGCTCGCATGCAATCATCAGGTCTGACACCGAGCACGTCGTCGGCATCATCGTATACACCGCGCGCCTGCACTGCCGCCAATGCCATCGTTGCCGCCGCCGCTGCTGCTTCTCAAGATATAGTCGCTTTCGTTGATGTTACTGCATCCCAAGATATAGTGGCTTTCGTTGACGCTACTGCTTCTCAAGATATAGTCGCTTTCGTTAATGCTACTGCTTGCTTCTCAAGATATAGTCGCTTTCGTTAATGCTACAGCTTCGGCTGTTTATGCTGTCGTTGGTCGCCGGGCATAACGTAGATCGCGCACAGTCGATGACAACACGGCGGGATGCGTGCCTGAGGAAGAGGAAGCCGTAGTTACGTTACGCTGCCGAGCGCACGGCTGCGGGAAAAGAGCTGCAGTCTATGCTATTCGCGGCGCGCTATTACCAAATGAATCAGCGATTGGTCGCACTTATACACTTGCGGGGTTGGAGCATGCGCAGGCGCGCGGCGCGCTGGCGCTGCAGGTGAAAACGCGCCCTCACTCCCTCATTCTAGCTAGATATCGCTCTGTCTGCTTTCTTTTCTCGCTCTATAGTGCGCACTTTCTCTTACTGCTCCTATCTCTCTCTCTCATCTCTCTCTCTCTCTTTCTCCTGTTCTCTCGTTATCTGTTCCTTTCTTCCTCTCTTGCTCGCTCACTGTGGTTTTCTTCCCCATCTCTCTGGTTGTCAGTTCCTCGCCCTCCACCGTTCTTACGCTCGCACACCTTTCCGCAATCTTCTCCCTGCTATTCCTTCCGTCATGCGTGCGTCCGTGCGTCCGTTCGTGCGTGCGCGAATGTCGAAATCCAAACAAACCCCATTTACGATTTCTAACACGTAGTAATAACACTAGAGAGCGCCTGATCATTTTTTGTCTCTTTGATTTGTTTCACATTGCGCCGCCAGATAGTGTTACACATACATCAATATCCTTGTGGTTTGATATCATGGTAATGATAATATGGACACAAGTACCAGTGCATGCAACTTCTTTGAATATAGTTTCTTATTGTTAAAACTGGGTTGACTCAAGATTATTCGTTCAGGCGGCGCAAAATGTTTTACCAAGGCAGGTATTCATAAGCTGGGTTTATAGATAATATGATAGTAAATAGTCACAAATTGTATTTGCGACCAAAGTACTAATGTTTATGTGTTCTCTACCACCTGATAATTCCAAGTAAATGCCGTTCAATTGCTTCTCTACAACATACATTATTACCACACGCACGCCACTATGCACAAACTCACGTAAGATATAGTCTATATAGAATCACAAAACAGAGAATCACAAAATGTATTCACCAATTATATAGTCTACAATACTCATTGTGGGCTTATGCACAGTGGCGCGCGTGCGGTACGATTTGCGCTTAGCACGTATCCGAAGGCAAAACGTTTTTTTACCAACTTCTGTGTGTATCTGTACGCTTTGGATCGCTAACAGAACAAACTGCCTTGATTCGCGATAACAATGGGCCCCGTGGCTTCTCTCGGCTGCGTGTATGCACTGGCGTAGTTGCCTCATATGTAGTGCTTGTGATGTATACGAAAGGCGAGTCATGGTCGTGGCTAATGGCATGAAAGTGAATCGTCCCTGGTAATGGCAGCGAACCATTTTGTATACAAACATGGCGCAGATGCATTTAGCCGAGCTAGAGTAAATGGCAGCTAAATAACCTCATCAGTAGCCGGCGACATATGAGGCTCTACACTAAAGCCTTTGCTTGTTGAAAGTCGCAGGATTTGAAATGTGTGGACACAGGGAAATGTGTCCAGGCCATGCCCGGTGCAAAATAGTTAAAATTGTGGAAGGAAGTGGTGCGTGCTGACACAAACAGGAGTTGGGACACGAATCTTGGTTTTGCGATAAGAGAATTTTTTAATGACATCATTACTTTAGGGGCAGTTTGAATTATGGCAACGACAAAAAACGAGGAAAATAGTCTCAAGGCCATTAAGATCCGCCTCTCGTAATCTCCCCCTATCGCTTTATCGGTCTGCCTGTCTATCTATCTGTCGGCTGTCAGTCTGTCTGTCTGTCTGCTAACCATCCCTTACAACGCAAGTCTTCATGGAATCCTCTTTGTGTTATGCGCATTATCGTATTATGCACTTATGAATTTGGTTAAGTGTATCTTTTGTTTTAATATTTGAAAAGATATTGTATGAGGTAGGTGTCGGCATACCCTAGACAAAATGTCGTTTCAATTACCTGCAGCCTCCGCCATCTCATGATGCCACTGCCACATAAGCCGTACTTGCATAAATGTTTAAAAAATAATTAAATGTATCTATAATTAAGTTTGATCATTACATTTACGCACTGCAAACATGCTCGTGCACGATGAACATGAATAATTGAGATCCGTTATAAATAGCACAACGACAGACGCTTTACAAAATATATATGGGATATTGGCACCTCGTTTGCAGGGACCATTATCGATGTCGTCATGAGAAATATATCTCTGTATGACACACGAGAGCTTTCGTGCCGCAATTAACCAAGTAATGAACTCGAAAACATGCAAGCGCGTGCAAGGTCCCGCGCATCTTGGCTGTCTACTTCCCCCCTCTCTCTCTCTCTCTCTCTCTCTCTCTCTGCTCTCTCTCTTCTCTCTGCTCTCTGCTCTCTCTGCTCTCTCTTCTCTCCTCTCTCTCTTTCTCTCTCTTCTCTCTCTCTCTCTCTTTCTCTCTCTCTCTCTTTCGCTGGTTGTCTCGTTCCTGGCGCCTCGGTCTCTTCTGTACGTGCTTGTCTTCCCGTGCGTCTTCTCACCAGTACGCCTGTCCCCCCCACACGTTGTTTTCCCCACGATCTGTCTGCTCCTACATGTCTTTCTCGCCCATACTCTTCTCCCCTCGCCCCACGCCGTCTATGCTCTGCCACAGCGGCAGCTCTCCCGCGCAGTCTTCCGGCTATATGTTTTTTTGCCTATCGCAGAGTGTATTCAGCTTCTCATGGCGTGTTTTTTTTCCCGCATGTATCGTCAGCATCAAGCACGCGAATCCCGTCTCGGCGCCCTGCGATAACTTGTAAATTATCATGTTCTGACATTTCATGCAAATGCAAATTATGTCGTTCGACGCAGGCGACGACCTAATTGGTCGCCGTGCACAAGTAGCACATACCGTCGTCGTCGTCGAGGAAAACATTAGTAATTTACTGGCGCTTTAAGCGACGCTGTAAATGGGGTGGGGTGGGGGGGGTCGCTGGAGAGGCAAGGCCTGAGACTTTTTCAAGAGCTCGCGGTAGTTGTCTATATACTTGACCAATGGCAGGCTATAGCAACTGATCTGGCTTGACCATGCGGCTGTAGCTATCCTATTGCTGACCATGGCAGCTGTAAGGCTCTATATTGCTTGACCATGCAGCTATAGCTATCTCATATTGGCTGAGCCATAGCAGAAGTACTATCTATATGGCTTGACGGCATGCAGAAGTAGCTATCTATATTGGCTGGACCCATGCAGCTGTAAGGCTTCTGATATTGGGCTTGACCATGCAGCTATAGCTATCTATAATTGCTTGAGCCCATGCAGAAAGTAGCTATCTATATTGCTTGACCATACAGAAGTAGGGCTATCTATATTGCTTGACCATGTAGCTGTAGCCATGTCTGGGTTCGTGGAGACTGACTCTAAAGTAATTACGCTGGCAGGCAATAATTCAGGCGATGCGTCGCGTTGTGTAACAGGAAGCATTAGCAGTACGGAACGATTCAATCTAATCTGCATAATGAATCCTACGATTCGTACTTAATTATTGTATTCGCTCGCGGGACCAGTGATTCAGCGGGAGATCCTGTATTACGGGAAGACGCGTGTATTGCGTTTTCAGTGCGGCAATGTTACATTGTGCGTACATCCGTACAATATTAGTTATATGGTCTCAGGGGAGAGATATGAATAAGAATAAGTTGTGGATATAGAAATAGCGTTAACCCTAACCTAAACCTAAGCCCTAACGCTAACCCTAATTCCTGAACCCTAACGCCTAGACTTTAACCAACGCCTAACAAATAAAACCAAATAGCCAAAAAAATAATAATAATAAAATAAATACTAGACAAAATTAGGCCAAATCAGAGCCGTTCCCCTAGCGAATATCTCTCCGGACTGTGCAAAATTCGTACAATATAATAAAAATGTAAGTAGGCAACAATTAGCAGGCACTGGTAGCAGCAGAGAGTAGGCGGTCGGCAGTACAACAGCAGCAGCAGTAGCGATGGCCAGCAGTAATTGCTGTAACAGGCAGCAGCAGCAGCAGCAGTACAGCTGCAGTAAGCTGTAACGGGCAGCAGAAGTATCAGAAGCAATAAGGCAGCAGGCAGTCCATGCACTTGGGACAAGAGTCAGTAAATACTGAAAAATATGAAACGCACATTCACATATACTACCGTACCTCTCAATAGCAGTTCCACTGTTTGCACTGTATATCAACTTTCCTTCATAGAAACTTAATGGCCGAACGCTCCCGCACTCGCCAATGGCGAGTGTGCTGTGTCGCATTATAATGATAATAATATATAAAGGATTATATTAATTATATATTATTATTATAATTATTATATATCATATGATTAATATATTATTATTATATATTTTATTATATATTGATTATTATATTATTAATATACTATATTTATATATTATTATTATATATTTTATTATATATTATTTTATATGATTATTATATTAAATATTATTATTATAATTATGATTATAATTATTATTATTATATTATTATTATATTATTATATATATATATTAATATTATTATTATATATTATTATTAA